AAAGACAAATTCTAGAATCTACAGCCCACAAAGCAGATGGTCAATGACTATGTACACAAGGAATTGTCCTTTATGCCAAAGTAATGAGGAAAAAGTAAGCTTTAAAAAAACACACTCTCCTTTAAGCAGACAAATATTTTCAGAAATCTGACTTACAGGTAAAATATGATGCCTACTCTTATTTACAAAGCATATTTTCACTAGGGAAAAAGGGATAAAATTATGAAAAATCAAGAATGAACTTTTATTGAGTTGGAACCATACCACTGGTGAAAGCACGTGACCACAAACCACTAAATACTGGGCAAAGAAGGAACTACTGGACTTGGGGGAGGCAAAAAGTACACTGGAAAGCACTCTGAGTTAAGGCCCAAGTGGACAGAGCTGATGTGGAAGCCAGTGTTATTAATGTCAGGGATTATTTTCCAGAAAAGTTGGCAGTAAGAGGTAATTGTTTTAGGTAAGTAAATCAGAGTCTCTTTTTATTCTCTAGTTATATCAGAAGGAGAAGCCAGGAAGCAGGTGTGGACAAATCAACCAGAGAATGAGGCCCCTCTTGGCAGTACTATGCCACGTTCCAATGTTCACTTTAAGTCTGTACTTGCATGTGGGGGCAGGGTGTGGTGACAAGGAGCAGGAGACAGGGAAGGAAAACACCATGTAAGACAGTGCACAGAATCAATCATTTCATACCATTAAAAGTGTAGAAGAGCTAACCTATTTAGAGTTCTTACTTTGTCCAAGGAGGCAAGGTGATACTCTATGTGCATTTTTCTCTTTTATTCTGTCTTATTGATTCTGCTGGTTTTGTATTATTATGTTTCTATTTTGCTGCTATGGAAACTGAGGCACATACAAGTTGAGTAAACATCCCTAGAGCCAGGGTATTACTAAATGACAAAGTCCGGAGGCAAACCTTGGGACTGACTCCAGTGCTCACTACAGTCACTGAGCTGCACCGCCACAATTCCACAAGCAGGAGAAAATAAGTTAGGAATAAAAATGGAAATGATGGAAACTAAATATGCTATCGTGCAGGCCAAAATAAACTACGAAACATTTACTTTTGAGATGAAATCCTGAAATAGCAGCAAAAGGCAGCCTAACATGGAGGAGGAGCTAAGCCAGCACTGGAGCGCGGAAATTAGATAAGGCCCATTCTGAGTGCCCAGGCTGCTTTCACCCTTCCCTACCTTTGGGAGGGAGCAGATTTTATCTGTACATCAGACACGCTCATTTTCAAATGGATGGGTAAAATTTATGCCCAAGTTGAAAGTTATTTTTCTACTTTCAAATATATATATTCTGTATTAATCCTAGAAATATGGGGTTTTTGCAGCCATACCAGAGGCTGTGCCCTGGCTGTATTATTTTCTAGGACTAGGAGCCTTGCTCTTCAAACAAGAAAGGAAATAGACACAGTTACTGGAATATGCGTCTTGTAGGATTTCTGTAAAGCAGAAACAAGAAGTGCCTAATAGGAACTGTCACAAAAAAAGGTCTCTCCATCCTCCCTTTCCATTAATCAAATAAACATACATTTCTCCTCAGATGAAAACAACTGATTTAGTAGGTTAGTGATATTTTAACTAGCAGATCATCAAATTTTCCAGGTAACTGAAGCTCAGCCCTAAAATCATACCTACAGTTAGAAAATGAAAGGTCTGAGACTGTCTTCTATGAATACAGTGAATTGATTATATTTATTTTAGCTTTCTTAAAACAAATTTTACTTTATTCACCATAACTATGTTTTAGATAATGGGGGTAAGTGGAGAAAACTGGAAAATGAAATCAAGGTATTTATCATTAAAGTCTCCATCCAGAGACAACATGCAGGGCATTTGAAATGGCATTTATCACAACATTATACTGAATATAGGGAAAATACTAAAACTGGTTATTAGCATGGTACCCTAGGAACTGCTGTCACTGAATTAAATACAGGATGAATACAAGAGGGAAAGCAGATGTAATTTTCTGAAAAACAGCCGAACATGAAGCTGACAAAAATAATGCTGCAGAGACATAAAAAGACATTAAAGACATAATGAAAGATAGTTTTCTACTATTTGTGATATGAAGTCATTATTTTTTAAAATCATGAGGAAATTTATTTATATATCTATATCTATATATGTATATGTATATATAAAAAGCCTGGGTAGCTAAACACAAAATCTTTAGAATGGTTATCACTAAATAGACTTTTTTCTTTTTTTTCCAAGATTTATTTTCTGATTTTCCACAGGAAGTTTTTTTTAAAAAAGTGGACATAACTGCAAAAGGCAAGGAAAGGTGAAATTTTTATAAATATATTAGTGGCCTGTGGTCAACAGACACAAGAAATAATGTCACAGATTAAAAACAATATAGATTTTGGCATAGCACTAAGCAGCAATTTGACAGAATTCCAAACTAATCAGAAATACTTTCAAAATTCTGCTGAGGAGAATAACATTTTTTAATCATATGATATTTAGTTGGAGGAAAAAGAATAGCTTTTTGTTATATTTTTACTGTTAGGTCATGCTGAGCCTTTACTGCCAGAAACCTCTGAAAAGTACCCTCTCCTGAAGGCACGCAGATAAGTCCTCACAGATGGAATTTACTTTTTTATTCTTATTAATTTGTGAATACTGCTGAAGCAGTGTTTTCAAATAACAAAAGACTTAGTAATCCATTAAAACATCTGTGAAAGAAGAATACATTCACCAGGTTTATACTAATTTGTTTTTATTTTGGTACTGGGGACTGAACTCAGGACCTTGAGCTTGTGAGGCAGGCGGCAGCACCACTGAGCTAAATCCCCAGCCCACTAATTTGTTTTTAGAATGATGGTTTACTTACAAAAGTAACCTATGCTCAAATCTGAATAAACAAGCCCCCCCCAAACCACACAATATAATTACTGATGTGACACAGAGCAATAACAAGAACTGTGTGCAGTAAAATATTGTACATTATTGCACTTATTAACTCAATTTGTGTTCCAAATTTGTGCTCCAAATGGATTGCCTTCTACATACCTAAACGTAACTTACGTTGGGGTTTTTGTACTTGGGTTTACATATTATTCTTAAGCAAATATTTAAAGTTCACTGTGACCTGCTGCTTTCCTTTCCCAGAATTTGAATGGTCTAGCCCCGTAATCAAGGATGCCATTATCATTACACATAAGGGCAAGGTGCTTTTCACCATCTCCTTGCTTTTTCCAGGTGAGATAATGTAATCCTCAACTCAGCTCAGCCACTTACTAGATGTGTGATTTTGCATAATCATCTTTCTAAGCTTCTGCAGTCTCATGTATAAAGTGGGGGTAATTATTGTCTTGTGGGGTTACAGAGAGTCATTAAATGAAGGTACAAAGGCATTTAGCACAGAGCCTGGCAGGAAGAAAGTAGCCCAAAACTTCCATGTAACTACCACAGTTCAAATTCTGCCTCTACCACTCTGAGCTTTCTGAACTTAGCAAGTTATACCTCTTTGTCTGTTTCCTCAATTACCAGATGCAGGTAATTTAGGGTATCCACCTCAGTAGTACTGTTCAGAGTTAATTCAAATAAAGTGCTCAAACTATGCTTGACACAAAGACCTTACATGAATGTTAAGTCCATGATGTGAGCTGAGAGGAAACCAGTAATAGCACTTCCAGGTGACTCTTAATTCTATTTTCCTCTGCCTAAATCCTGTCTGGAGGACTCTCTTTAGTTTTTTGTTTGTTTGTTTTTACATTTAATATCTATTAGATGAAATGCCTAATGCATAATTGGCTTTCCATAAATCTTAGAAAAATGAATGAAATTCATGAACTCAGTCTCTATATTTTTCTTTGGCAGATGGTGTCTGAAACAATTACCCCCAATTTTCTACCCATGTCTAAATGCTCACCACAATATATTCTTACTAAATGGCAATTAATCATGTATGTTGGGGCCAGGGATTTAGCTGAGTGCTGCCATCGCCTGGCACAAGGTTCTGAGTTTGATCCCCAGTACAAAAAAAAAAAAAAAAAAAATCATGTATGTGAGGACAAACATTAAAAGGGTAAAAGATTTCAATAATAAATAAATACTCATTTTGTATCATTATACCAAGATGGCTGTTTTCTATAATTATTTACCAACATAAATAATAATTTTTCAGTAATGATACACTAAAAAAAGTATCAGTGGTTATGTATTTTGAAGTGTGTAGCAATAAAAAAGATTAAATATGACTTACAGCTCCCAATCTTCTTATAATTATTATTCCATAAATCAGAGATTAAGTCTGGTGTACTCTGCATTATTTCCTAAATATATATTTTGCATTTGTTACAATTAACTTGCAGGCTGTGAACAAACACTGATAAGAAGAGCAAAGCAAGCTAAAAAAGGAATGTGAAGAGTAGTGACAGCTGCATGAAAAATGGTCAGTTTCACTAATTTTTACTGACTTGAGAAAAAAGTAGGTTTCATTTTTAACTCAACAAAATTGTATTTAAGGAATTTCACCTGCTGTGATTCTTTTACTACCAAACAAGGTCATTTTATTTTTTCTAAGGCTGAAGCTCAAGATTTATCTTCAAAATAGTCTGTTTTAAAAGTAACTGATGCTTAGGGCCGGGGATTTAGCTCAGCGGTTCCGCCGCCTGCCTTGCAAGTGCAAGGACCCATTTGATCCCTGGTACCAAAAAAAAAAAAAGTAACTGATGCTTAATCCAGCTATCAGCCCATAGTTTTATAAATTGGATTACTTTTATCTCTACCCTTATTATGGACACAGTAATGACAGCCTTAAAATTCTCCACCAAGGATCTCTGGGTCTAATTTCTTCAGGTAATTCACTTTAGGGTATCTTTTAGGGCAGGTAGATCTGCCTAGTTCTCAATTGCTGATAATCTTCTCTAAACATGAATGAGTTTAAATCATATCCATTCCTAAGTTATCACTCAGAAATAGTACAGATCTATGGTGTATGTTAATACATACAGTTTTAAAAATGTTAGGTCTTCCTTTTGTTGTCTTATACTTCCCTCCCACAGGCCTAAGAAATAGTCTTGAGTAAGCAAAACCAGTTACTTTATGAGATGTTTCCAACAATTTGCAACTAGTGAAGAAGCTCCACCAGGATACACCTCAATGGCATGCTTTAAATTAAAAGCAATATGTAAAGAATAGAGGTTATACTGGGCATGGAGGCACACACCTGTAATCCCAGCACTCTAGAAGGCTGAGGCAGAAGGATTAAAAGTTCAAGTCCAGCTTGGACAATTTAGCAATTTACTAAGATCCTGTCTCAAAAAAAAAAAAAAAAAAAAAAAAAAAAAAAAAAAAAAAGATGGGGATGTAGCTCAGCGTGACAGCTTTGGGTTCAATCTTCAGTATGCACCTCCATACATAGCACACAAAGTCATATTGTACATGATTTAACAACTCGTTGTCTTTTAAAATGTAAGTAACTCTTAACAAGTTAGTAGCCTGATTTACTTGACCAAGTATTTTTGTGACTGTAAAACATAATCTAAAATTTCCCCAAAGGATCTTTATAAGATTCTAAAATAGTGTGAATATAACACTGCCTTGAGTTTTGGGTGTTCACATTGTAAACTGTTTATAGAAACAAGTTCCCTCAGAATTAATTTATATTTCTAGCTTAGGCTTCTGCTCTGCTTCTCAGGATCATATATCCAATCTGCCTCCTTAGCATTTACAATATGACATGTTTAACTGAGCTCCTGATACTGCCCCAAACTTGCTTGTTTTCTACACCCCGTCTCTGATGTGCTAGCAATATTTACCTTTAAAATACATCCAGAATCTGATGACTTCTCACCACATACCATCATCTCTCACTTGGGTTATTACTGCACAGCTTTCTCGACAGTCTCCCTGCCTCTGCTGTGGCCTCCCCCGTTAGTTTATTGTCAAAACAGCAGCCAGATGGATTCTGTTAATGTGCAAGTTACATCACGTCAGTCTTCTGCACAAACCCTTTAACAGTTTCCCAATTCAGAAAAATGTCCAATCTTTCCACAAGCCTTTCTGACTTCAGTCCTCCCACAGCTCTGACTGCATGTCCTACTCTCCTCCTCATTCATTCTTCTCTCACCTGGCAAATATGGATACCTGATAAACATCTGCTGAATGAACAAATGAATGACCTTCTCCGAAGTTTAATATTTGATGTTATGTTTAACTTGATCAATATTACATACAGGACAGAAAAGTTTATGAATTGTCACCAAATCAGTAGGTTCTTTGGGAGGGATGGCAGGTTATTAATTCAATACTTCTAGGAAAAATAGCAGTGATAAGCAGATTGGGTACCAGCCCTCAAGGAGCTAAGCGTCAAGTGAGGGTGTCCAGCTCCTATGCTCTTAGAGCCATGATCAAAACGTGCCCGTAGGATTGGCCAAGATCAGTGACAGGTTCCCAGTTTTCCCAAGCTAGCATTTGTGAATTATCCTCAATTCTTTCTTCCTTGCTTTCTAAACCAATTAGCCAATTTGTTATCAAGGCCTCTTCAGTCAACCGCAGGAATGTCCAGTGTGCAGTCCAACTCTAAATGCACTATTACACAACCCCCCAACCTTCACAGGCTGCCACCTGAGAATTACCGTATTCTCTTAAGTAGCATCCTGTCAACAATCCTCCCGCTTGTAGGTGTCACACTCTAGGGCTGGAGTCACTTCCTCCAAAATAAATGCTATTCCCTTTCTTAAACACCAGTTTATCCTGTGCATCACTGAGCAGTGCATTTATTTACAAAATGACCATCCCAAGTGTTGCTTGGGCAGGTGTCATTTCTACCAGCTGATTCTTGTATTGAATAAATTTGATAAAACTGTAGTTGTTTTATAAAAATTAATTAAAATATGCAATTTTTGGTCATCCTGTATTTAAATAATTAGACTGGTTAATGGTTAAATTTCTTCAATAGCTGCACATTGTCTAAAAAAGGGTGCACAAGGTCCTGCATGAGCTGGTCTCAAACATACCTTTACAAGTGCATCAAACTCAGCTCTACCCTCCCTTCCCTCAGATACCATTCCCTGCCTGGCTACTTGGTAAATACTCATTAAGCAATCATTCAATACACCAATAAAATGTTACTTCCTCTGAAGCTCCCTCCAATTCCATGCTGGAGAACATGTTATTTTTCCCAAATTTTAAAAAATTTGAAATATAAAAGTATACTGTTAAAAAAAAGTACACTGTTGGAATTTGAATATATGTGCATACACAAATTTGGACAGATATATTACATATATGTATATGTAACTTCTCTATAGATCAATATCTAGGATATTTTCATCACATTAGAGGGTTCCCTTGTGTTTATTCTTAGTCAATTCCCCCACCCAGAGATAACCACTGACCTGACTTCTATCATTAACAATTAATTGCCTATTCTTTTATTATATGGATAGCATCACTTAGTGTTTTCTTTTGATCTGTCTGCCTTTGTTTACCATGTCAGTAACAGTCATTCTTGTATCACTAATTTGTTCTTTTATTAATACCACCCAGTCTTCTACATAGGAACATACCACAATTTATTAATCCATTCTCTTCTTTATGAACATGTGGATTATTTCAACTTTTAGGTACAGTGAATACAGGTGCTTTGAACAACCCTGTTTAAGTCTTTGGGTAGACACACAAATTCTTTCTCCTGAGGAAAAATGCTGGGCCATAGAGCGAATATAAATCTAGCCTGAGGAGATTCTGTCACACAGTTTTCCAAAATAAATGAATTAATTTATACTCGTCAGCAAAGTTTAAGAGTTCCAGTTGCTTCACATCCTCACTAGTATTTGATTTTTGTCAGTCTTTCTAATTTCACGCATTGTGATAATTGCATAAACTATCTAGTTGTGGTTTTAGCTTGCATTTTCCTAATATGAAATGATATTTTAGACTTCATATTAATTGATTATTTATCCTCTTTGTAAAAGGCTTGATTTTTGTTGCTGCCCTCTCCTGTCTTACCCACACCCCACACCCAGGGATCAAACTCAGGACCTTGTGCTTGTGAAGCAGGCATGTTGCCACTGAGTTGAATCCTTGGCCCCTTTGCTTGTTGTTTTTAACTAACAGGCTTTGTATTTATTGGTGAGAGTTCTTCATATGTTTTGGCTATGAGTCCTTCATCAGATATATGCATTATAAAAATCTTTTCCCAAACTGTGGCTCATCAGATGTATGACACTATTAATTATTTTCATACTATTAGACATAGAGTGTTTCTAATTTTTGCTGTAACTTAACACTTTGATGACCAAACCCAAAGCTTCACCTATACCTAATTTTTTTCTTAAGCTAGATTGACAGAACTAGAATCCCTACTCAGTATTGATACAGGCACTCTCAGAGAATCCTGTCAATTGGTACTGGTACCCAACAGTGCATGAGAAGATCCACTCGCCATGTTCTCACTGACCATGGCTTTTTTAAAAAATTCATTATCAGTCTGATAGGGGGGAAATCAGTATTTTATTGTTTTAATGTTTAGTTCAGTGATTACCAGGAAAATTGTATTTTTATTTTAAAAAATTGTTCATTTTGCATATATGCAGTTAACAAGGGGTCTTTAGAAGTTTTTTCATTTACTCTGGGTATTGAGGTTTCCTTTTCATATAATATTTTACTAGATTTTAATGTTGCTTTATATTTATAGCAATCATTTCCTGAGTTGTAGTATAGTTTGTGCTTTTTAAATTTTTATGTAGTTGAGTCTGAGGTCACATCTAAGCTTAGAAAGTCTCTTCCCTTAAAATAGTTCCTATAAAGATCAGTATTTCCCCATAAATACTCATATCCATCCCCTTACAACTTTTAAAAAAATGTTATCTCTCTAATTCCTTAGCAATCTATTTTGGGGAAGTACTATATTAGACCACCTTTAAGTCTGACTCTTTTCCAAACTGAAATGCAGCTGTGGAAATAACATGTATCAAATAAATATTCTTTCTCTTTTTGAATTTACAATGCCTCATTTAAAGAAAAATTTAGTGTACTTCTAGGATGCTTTTTTTTTTTGTACCAGGGATCGAACTCAGGACCTTGCGCTTGGGAGGCAGACAGCGGAACCACTGAGCTAAATTCCTGGCCCAAGGATGCTTTTACAGTTGCATCAATTTGTCCCCCCACCCCAGTACTAAATACTGAAACTTGGAACCCTGAGCTACATCCCCACCCTTTTCTTTTATTTTAGACAGGGTCTTGCTAAGTTGCCCAGGCTGGTCTCAAATTTGTGATGTTCCTGCCTCAGTCTCCCAAAAATCTGGGATTGTAAGGGTGCACCACCATACATGACTGTTTGCCTATTCTTGCGACATCATCGTATCCTCATTTGACCAATATTTACTGAGTACTTACATCATGGTGAAGGAGACATACCTGGTCCCTGTCTCTACAGTGCTTATAGGCTAGTAGGGAAATGGAGAGAAATAACTAGACAGAAAGAATAACTAACTAATTAGAGAGAAATAACTAACGCCTTGGTGTGGTAAGTATGACAGAAGTGCAGGGAGCTAAGTAATGTATAAAGAGACCTGAAAGAGGACCTGAGGAATGAGGAAAAGTTTCCTGGAAGGCATGCTGTACATAGCTGAGCAGAAGAAACAGCATGATGAAAGATCTGAACGTGAAAGGCAAGGGGGCACTAGGAGAGCTCGAGAACATTTATTCTTGGCTGCAGCCCAGAGTGGGAAGGCAAGTGTGGCCGGAGCTCAGGTGGGAGAAGGGTGGGGTGGCGTCGTATCTTTAAGACCTTAAAAATGATTCTGTCCTTCATCCTGAGGGCAAGGCAAGCCAGAACATTCGGGGACTGGGGAGCAAAGTATTCAGATATGCATTTGGCTGTAAGAAGGACTACTTCGCTGTAAGATGAAGAGTAATTTGCTAAAGGAAGTCACAAGTATAGCCAAGGAGTGTTAGGACTTTGAAGAAGATTAAAGTCCTAACTCAACACTGTTCTTTTTCAAACTTTACTATGTTACCATCACATACTTATTTTTCCAGATTAACTCTAAAATTAGTCAAGTTCCCTCCTACACATTTAAGTCCACTCCAATTGTAATTTTATTTGGAATTGCAGTTTAAATTAACTTGTTAAGATCACAACTTCATTATGTAC